TTTTTTCGTACAAGTCCATACGCATTGCTTGCGAGCGGTATGACCGATCTTAGCACGAAGAAAAATATAATGCCTCTTAGTACCAACCTGAGTGTATTTATAAAAAAAAACTGATTCCCTAAAAATTATTTCGCTCTTTTATCACTATTGAAAAATTGCAAATACCTTATACGAAGAAGTATTGTCAGTATGAAAAAAAATTATCTCTCTTTTACTTAAAGATTTTTCAAACTCAACATTTTAAAGAAAATACTTCATTTTGACTTTGATTGATTTTGTTTCTTATATGTCCCGATTATTGAATTATCAAATCAAATAATAAAAAATTACTGTAGAAATTGATTCTAACCTTTTATAAAAACAAACAATATAAACTTTTAACATATTTACCTGATACACTGAAGTTGATCTTTTCTCGATCGTTGCGAAATGTGGACACGTTCTTACTCCACCAATTGTTATTTTATTTTTTTGTGTATACAACACTAAAACGAAATCACTTATCAAAATGTTACCTAACTTGCTATAAACAATAAGGATCGATGTTCAGAGCAAAAAACTTAGCGACCGGAACTCACAATAGCAGACTCATAAATGTAAAGAAGTCCCTTTATGCTTATGATAGAGTACCTCTAGATGGAGTTTCACCGCGGTATCTGCATCGCTCGCGAGCCTGCAGTGCGCGCGGATCGTATCGTTCTTTTACCACGGAATCTCGCAGCGACAAGACGCAACTCGTCTGTGCGAATTTATGAGAAAAGTGCAAATCAGAATTTTTCGTAAGTATAAATAAAAAATATTATCATTGTTATTATTATTATAAAATAGTACAATTCAGTACATTAGAGATTAGTGACTCTCTATTTATGAATTGAATAATTGTCCACATATTCTATTAATTGTGTAAATTTAGGTTAAAAACTTGTTTTTAACCTACTTACTCTTACACGGTTATCGAATCTTACCTATAATCTTTACACAGTTAATCGAATATGTAGACAATTATTCAAGTAATAAAATAATATTCAAGTAATAAATATAACATATGAAGAGTTCACTAATTATTCAGTTATTTTCATGTGTATGTGTTTTTTTGTGATTGCAGAAAATGCAGAATAACGAGGGTCAATTGGAGTTTCCAAATAATGATGCTGGACCTCTGAATATGATCCAGCTTCAAAACCTCATGCGAGAAATGCGGGCCCATATCGAGGTACAGCAGCAGCAAATAAACAACCAGCAGGAGCTGATAGCTGGTCACTTGCAAAGGGAGCAAGAGAGGCAGCAACAGGAGCAAGAAAGGCAACAACAGGAGCAGCAAGAGAGACAGCAGCAACAGGAACGAGAAAGACAACAACAAATGGAACGTCAAAGACAGCAGCAGCTGGAACGTCAAAGGCAGCAGCAAAACCAACAACGTAGGCTGCAGCAAAATCAACAACAAAGACAGCAGCAGAGACCGCAACAGAGGCAACAGTTGAGGCAAGAGCCAAATGATGACCTACATCAAAGGGAGGAAGACGAAGAATCCAATGCAGGTGAGTCTCATAAAAATTTTCAACAAAATGTAGTAAAGTATACACACACTCAATGATCACCTTAACACCTCACTTAATTTCTCTGTGATTGTTTCAGGTTCTAGAAGAACACGAAGAGGTGGACTCGCAAGAAGGGAGCGATTCAACCCCTACAATCTTGCTATCGATAACATGGTCAGATATCAAGTTGGAATGATGTATTCTGTTACGAACATGGTTCGAGCAAGTAGAGCTGAAAATAGACGACTCAATCAACAGCAGCAAGAAGAAGAAGAAGAAGAAGATTAGTGAAATAAAATTATTATTTCAGTTAATAAAAGTTCAATTATTTATTTTAAAAGTGTTTTAAAAACAACATGTAAAAATAAGTTAAAATGTGTACTTGAGTTTTAATAAAAAGTAACAAGTTTAAAATAAACAAGTGTATTTATTTGACATGACATCATCTAACTTCTAACTTCTAATATTTGAGGCCCTTAAAAAAAAATAATCATAGTGTAGTGTTGTACTTTACTATACAATCCATTGCAGCTTAAAAAATTAATAATCTCTTTGTTGTACAAGCCCATATTGTCAGCTAGCTTCTCAATTCTTTACATTAAATTGTGTCTCATAAACTAGGACTCAAAGATTTGGCATGCGACCAGTATGATGAAAATTTTGGACAGAAATTGGATTTGCTCTACCAACAAAAAGTGTTCATGACAGCCAGAGAGATTGTGCATGTAATAACTGCATTACAAAATTTGGAAATTTAAGCTAGGTGCCAAGCTTCTGATTTGTTTTAATTAAAATTTGACTTAAAGACTAAAACTTATAAACTAGTACTCAAAGAGTTTTCATGCGACCAGTGTGATAAAATATTTGGATAAAAATTGGATTTGCTCTTCCAACAAAAAGTAGATCATGACAGTCAAAGGGATTATGCATGTACTAATCAAAATTTGGAAATTGTAACTTGGTGTGTTATTGCAATTTGGGGTCTAACACCAAAAAGTGGTTCATAACAGTCAAAAGGATTGTGCATGGGCATAACAACATTTGAAAATTGAAGGCTTCTGATTTGTTTATCTTCAATTTGACATATGTACTAAAATGAGCTATATTTAACCGGTTATCATGTGATTGAATAAAATTTTGACTTATTGATAAACTAGTACTAGTACGCGTAGCTTCAATTTCAAATGTTATACCCATGCACAATCCTATTGACTGTCATGAACACTTTTTGATGGTAGAGCAAATCCAATCTCTGTCCAAACATTTTCTCACACTGGTTGCATGCCAACTCTTTGAGTACTAGTTTATAAGCCAAAATTCAATTCAATTCNGCTTTAAATATAGCTTGAATTGAGTTCATAAGTCAAAATTTTGGACAGAGATTGGATTTGCTCTACCAACAAAAAGTGTTCATGACAGCCAGAGAGATTGTGCATGTTATAACTGCATTACAAAATTTGGAAATTTAAGCCAGGAGTCAGTATTTTTATTATACCTGGAGCCTGACTCGATTTATACCTAGCTCTGACCTGATCGTACCACCCGGGAGGATAATAGTGCAAAAAAACGAGGACTTCCTCGGGGAAAGTCATCCTCGAGTCCGCATTTATACCTAGAGCATCGATCGCACCACCCGGGAGGATAATCTTGTGAAAAAACGAGGACTTCCTCGGGGAAAGTCATCGTCGAGTCCGCATTTATACCTAGAGCATCGATCGCACTACCCGGGAGGATAATCTTGCGAAAAAACGAGGACTTCCTCGGGGAAAGTCATCGCCGAGTCTATACTGCGACCTGAGGCACTGAGAGGGCCATCCTGGTTGATAGTTTAAAAATCTTCACCTAGTTCAAAATTCCTGCGTATTCATTCGAAATCAATTATATTAATAGTAGCATTTTTTTGATACACTTATGCATAGCTTTGGGTGAGACATGAACGTAATTCATTCAATTATATTAATTGTAGCATATATATATTTTTTTTTTATACACTCATGCATTGTAGCTTTTGACATGAACATAACTCAATTTCGGTTTTGATATTTTTTTCCTTATACGTTACGATATACGTACGATATATCAACAGCAAAGCAGCTGTGTGACTAGCGTGAACATAGCCAATGGTCTGAACCGCTTTCGGTCAGACCACTTTTTAGGTGATAACATTTTTTTCGATGTGTTTTTTTCTTTCAATCGCTCGTATTTCGTAGTTATAAACATTTTTTGGGACGTTATATACATGGATTGATTGGATTTTGCTTCAGGAATCCATAGCACTTTTCAGAATTAGGATATCTATTATAAATTTCAAATGAGAGTGAAAAATAGTTTTCGCGGGTAGCGAAAAAAGCCGATGCTGTGTATATGAGTAGCGTAACGCCGCAGCTCTCTCTGTCATACTTGCCAGAGGGAGCGCGAGGCGCGCTCCTCAATAATATGCGGCAGCGGCGCCGTCCATATTATACGCCTGTGCATGTGTGTGTGTATAGTCAGCGAGGCTGGAAACGCGCGAGCGAGATCGTAGGGTGTCACTCGAGGGCTGCAGCACACCAGCTCGATCGTCCGAGCTGTAATATAACGGCAGCAGTGCCAGCTCGAGAAAAAAGACGATCGGACGTGAATGGAGGAGAACAAAAAAGAGGAGGACGAAGTAGCCGAAGCTCGACGAAGCTCGACAAACAGAAGAAGAAGAAGAAGTAAACGAGACATCGTAAATTCGAGCTAATAAGCTGCGGGTGTGCGCTCGCGTATCCGTTGATGCACGAGGCGAGTTTCCACACTTTATTAGCGCGCGCCTTCTCTCTCTCTCTCTCTCTCTCTCTCTCTCTCTCTCTTTCTGTCTTTCGATTCGCTCGAGAGTGAGAGAAAGAAAGAGTATATGTAGGAATTTTTGTGATATCACGAAGGCAGCAACCACCCGCGCACTCGGCTCGGAGATTCGATCGGCAACGATCGCGGACGAATCTCTTGCAGATCTCCGGTTCTACGCGTTATAACGCACGATTTCGCAGCTCTCTTTCTTTCTCGGTACAGGCCTTATAGGCTCGGTATACAGTACGTCACTCGGAAAAATGAGCGGTAATTAAAAAAACAACCGGAAGTATTTAAGAGCATGCGAAAGGACATTCTGCTTAAAGATATGCTAATGAAGCCTCGCGACATCTCGGAGCAACGAGCGAACGGCCAAGCAAAAAAAGCTGATTCGAATTATGAAAGCGATACGTGCGAGATATGGAAAAAGGCGTGCGCTCGCGTTGCCGCTAAGTAGGCTAATTAGAGGACGATCGATATAATAAGCTCTCGTGGCGACCCGAGTAGCCGCGCGCATAATGCGATCGGTGTACGTACGTACGCGTTCACCTGCTCCGCGAGGTGCAGCGCGAGTCGGCCGGCCGATTAAAGCAGCCCTTATCTCGGACGTTTAAATGCCTCGACCGCAACGATCCTTACGCTTACGTGTTATATACATGACTCGAGTATCTGCGCACGGATGCGCGCTCGTGGCCCACGACCAAACGAAAGAAAAAATTTTTGATCGACCCTTGATTTATGGCTCCGTGGCCGAATGCAACGCGCTCTCGCTGTTTATAAATATATTATAAAAAGATCCTGCCATTTATACGTACAGCACATGCTTTGGCTCAAAGAGTATATTGCTCGCAGTATTTTTCGGTAATTTGATATTAGCCGAGCGACGAGCTGATTTTATGGACGCAACAGATATGAGAGGACTTTACAACTGGATCGCTTTTCGCGCGCTCGAGTCGGGTTGCGCGTCAAGTGGCGCGTGTACGTATAATAAATAAAAGAGCAGCACAGCGCGAGGATCCTCCGGACGATTTCTGCGCCGAGCGATGCGAAAAAGTAAATAAAACGCATATACGTATGCATGCGTTATATACAGTCGAGATTCCGTGCGTGTGTGCGCGGGAGTGCGGCCTGTGATGTCACTGCACTGTTACGAGCGGACGATGTATATACCACGTATAAGTATATCTGTATATAAAATGGGTTGCCGAGAGATAGCGTGAACGGCCTTGTCGTGCGCTACGTGTGCTGTACGACGGCTACGTATCCTCCGCACGAAAGCTGCCGTTGCCCCGGCTCACGCACACGCCCGTGTGGACTACTGCAGCTGCAGCCGAGCCGAGGCGGCGCCCCGAGATTCCTCGACGCAACGACGACACGCTCCAGGAACATCACGCAGCTCCACCGATCTGCCTCTCAGCTGAATCGTATCCAGTACATATACATGTGCTATATACAGGAGCACGCATACACACACACTTGTACCGGCACGTCGATCGCGTGACTCTTGCGCTCTAGCTCTCGAACTTGGGCACCTTTGCACACTGACCTGTCTACCTCGGAGCGGAGTCGAACTCGTGCACCTCTTCCTTTTTATACTCGCCTTTTTTTTCTTTTATTATACTTTCTCGCACGAGGCGGCGACGCGTATAGGTCGATTGTTGTTGCGAGGACGTATACAGTTCTCGCTCGCGTTGATTCAATTTTATTGTACGCTGCGGCACTCGTCGCGCGAGTTTGTGTGCTCGCTAGACAGGAAAAGGCGTTCGCGACTTTTTCAACGACTCGTTCAGCGAATGCGCTTTAGTTATGATGCACAGATACGTCTGGGCTACCGAGTACTTTTTTCTGATTATCCATGCAGGCCGGCCGCGTGCTTGCAGCCGCTTTCACTGTCATCCTTACGTTTCCATCGTACTATTCGCTTTAGTGCCTCGATCGCGCGAAGCAGTACAATATCAATAAATAGGGTGTTCTCAGTTTATGAGAAAGGTCTATAATATTTACGATTTCTCTTTTATATCGAAATGCATAATTATCGAGTCTTCCGAATTTTCCTCTTGCTTATTTAATCACTGTTACTCAAAGCAGCGGCACCTAGACACGTAATGAGGTTGAGAGAGTAAAATTTATAACTCAATTATCAACCAAACACGGCAGTGCAGCGCAGATGCTATCTCGACTTCAGCGGAGCAGCGCATTTCTAAAACATACACAAAAACGCGCAAACACACACACAAACACGTCGTGAGTTTAACGCGATGCTCGTGGTATATACATCATAACTCGAGCTATAAATGTTTCTTTGTGATTGTGCACGAGTTGGTCGGTTCGGTCATTCAAACGGCCTAATTTGCATTTTAAATTCAGACGAAAATCGTAGTAGCAGCAGCAGCAACAAAAGCTATATATGCGGATGCGTCCAGTACCATAGCATTTATTGCAGACTCGAGAGCAATATACGGCTTAATAATTGCCGCAGCGAGCCATGCCTCGCTATTGTACGTATATTATAATAATATTGAAATTTACCGTGCACGCGGCCACAGGCGGACTCTGTTAAGTCTGTCAAGTCCGCGAGCTTGAGGTGGCAATTAATGCCGCAAACGTTTTTATTGTTGAATGCATGTATATTCAGCTGGCAATTGCAGGCGCGTAAACGCGATAAAGCATGGGGCACGCAGAGCAGAGTACAGGCGTAGCAGTACGGCCTGCTACACGTCGAGTCTCACTCGAGAGAGCTCCTTCGCATTATATGCCTGTGTGTAATGTAGAACTGGCGCAGGGAGATTTTTTATATCCACGTACACATTTTGCTTGGTCAGCGCACACGTCGTGTACTCTGTATTATAAAGAGGTATAAGTGCGGAGGAAAAGGGCAGCGCAGCGCGTACCGCTGCGATAGAGCCATAAATTTTGCATCACGCCAGCGGCATAAATCGCGCGACCT